TCCCTCACAAAACTCTATGGGCGGAACGGTGGGGGCCCTCAAAATTGGGACTCAACCTTCATAAATGTGTAAAGTATTTTCTCGATGAATGAGATATGGCAATAGGTATGACTCCACAACTTTGATTGAAGGATAAGAAACCCCAGGTAGGATTTACTTTACTATAATTTATATTGATTTAGGATCCACGTAAAGATAATCGAAAAGAATATGCATGATTACACGAGCTAAGCTGAATGTCATCTATTGTTATGACGTTAACGAAGTCGTTTTTTGATCTTTGTGAGACCTCAAAATACTCACCTACTATCATCAATTACGATGTGGATTTAATTATTCTTGTACGTGAGATCAATGTGCGCTTTTGATAGTTATTGTGGAGATATAATCTCCATGACAGTGAGCAAAGGCAAGGTAACTCTCTCCAACCGCACTATTTAAGTATATAAATGTAATGCTAGTACAAGATGTAAAGGTAGGTAGGTAGGTGAGTGTAAAATTAACCAATCACAAAAAATCTGTTAATTTATTTCTCATAATTAAACAATAGTCGGGTATAACTTAAGTGTTGAAGTATTTTCAACTACGTTCTCCCATGATCGAGAGTTGACATTATGTAGCAAGTTATTGAGTTGGCTCAAGCTGTCAATTAAAAGATTGAGTATAATTTTGAGTTTGACAATGCACGTAATGTCCACTAAAATGTACATTACATTTTTTTTATTTTTTATTTATATATTTTTTACTAAATACAATTCTAAAAATAATAGATAATTGATAATTAGTGAAATTTAAAAAATATAAATTAATTGAGAAAATAAACCAATCAAAATGGACCAAATAATTATTCAGCTGTAAGAATCTGTCAAGCAAATAATAAATAATTCTGCAACTACCAAATGAATTGGTTTGTTAAATATGTACTATTTTGTACAACCAAGATTCTACTTTCTTTTGTTTCCAACCTAGCATGTTTGACTAAGGGGTTTTTGTGCCCCATTATTTGTCAATAATATATTATGAAATAGTTATTAATGGTAAAATGTGTAGTTAAAAAAAAAAGGAAAATTTTTTAATTTATATATAATATTATTTTAATAAAAAATGTGTAGTTGAAAATGAGTGCTGTAGAAAAAATAATGTGATAGAATGGTAGACAAATAAAGTCTAAGTTTTAAAAATATAAGGGTGCGTTTGATTGTTGAATTTTTTTTTTTTTTTTGAAAAATGTGTTTTTTTCCATCCAAATTCTACTTTTATGCTGTTCGATTGACATATTTTCCTGTGAAAAATATTTTATGACTTTTGGTCCTGTGATTATATATTTTTTTCAAAATCAAGGAAAATATTTTCTATAGGGAGATTGAAATTTTATTTTTCAAAGGGGGATTGAAATTTTATTTTTCAAGGGATTCACTCTCTCATTTATCCACACCTTTTCATCTATCCAATAATATAAAATGGACAAATATAATATTTTTTAGGTTGAAAATTAAATCAATTAAACACATTTAATTAACAATTTTCATGTAAATAAGTTCTAAATAATTGAATTGCCTAAAATTTATTTTCTTTCCATTTAAATTCCATTGCTGAAATCAAATGCCCGAAAATCAATTGATATTAAATTTTATCGTAAAATCCGTATTCGGGAGATTAGAGTGCGTGATTACCAATCACAACGTCGGAGCTTGAATATTCTCCACAACTACAATCGGCTCAAAATGTAATTATTTGAAATATATTAATTATTTTTAATTTCCGAATCACCTAATATTATATATTTATTGTAAGTGGAATATGCATGCAAAATTCGTATATTCTATAGTTTGACAATTTAAATACGATGAAATTAGTTATACATTGAAAAATCCGAAAAAATTATGCATTTAACAATGCTGATTTCCAAAAAAAACTGGACATTCTACCGTTCAAGCATGTCAATAAGAGAACCGCGATTTAATCCTTGTTTGGTCCCTTTTTTGGTAAAATATATTTTTTTTCTATTATTTTCATTCACTCATTTTTTAATAAAATAATATTATACGTAAATTCAATTTTTTCCTTATTTTTTAACCATACATTCTCCATCAAATCACCATTCCAAAATATATTTTTGGAAAAAAAATAGAGCTCAATAGATTGAGGGTGACAAACTTAAGTATTTCAAAATATTAATCTACAAGTTGAGTAGTCCAATCTCATTATAAATTGATTATTATTTAACTCACGTCTAGTCAACTAGAGATTTTATTTGTACTTTCTCAAAAGAGGGGTGCTTGACGTCGAGGGCGCCCCACAAACCTCCCACCTATAGGGAGGCGCCAAATGGCATCCCTATCCGTCGAGGGCCAATGTGGCCTGGACATGTATCTTTTTCCTTCTCACAATACTCCCTTCCTAGACAATGTGGCTCTCGACATGTATCTTTTTCCTTATCAAAATACTCCCTTCATTAAAACACCATTTTATTTCGTTTTCTCTACATGATAATCAATTAACTTGTCGTTCCTCATTAAAGCCCAACGGCCAACAACAGATTTTTTTGCCAGTGTGATCCAAATTGGGTTCCACTACTTTCATTCGACTGCAATTGGGTATTCATTTTGTGTGTCATAACTAACTTTATCTTCTTATAAACTAGTTATTTGTTTCATGTCTACTCGACGTGGGATCTTGTTGACACTTTCTCTATACTTGAGAAGACGTGTCGACTATATATATATTCATTATTATTTTTTTCTATATAAATGACGATGAGGAGATAAATAAAAATCAACATTTTGGATAATGCCAAAGACGTGTGATTTCTATGAAACCCTAAAATATAGGGCACTTAATTATAGGGACAGATAATAATGACAACGTTAAAACCCTAAAATGTAAGGCACTTTTAATGTCAAATAATAAATGTTGCGCAATAATTCACTGAAAGGAAGAAGTTTGAATTATTGAATATGGAATATTAGAAATAATTCTTTGCTTCACCTAAGATGAGAGTAAGTTGATTTTAATTGAATCTTGTACGTGATCTTTAATCTAATATCGGTTAATGATGCGAAACGTGTGTAATCCTGCTGTTCCCATTATGGGAAGATTGGAGGCAAATAGAGATTGATAGTGCATTACGTGCAGAATACTTAATTATATTAGCTCAAATCCTTGTTGGAATTTTTTATTTTTATTTTTATTTGATTTTTACTGTTGTTCGGACTAACCTCAAACGGTCCTGAGGGAATTCAAATTAGTGACTATTTGGAAGTAAATTCAAGGTCTGATAACTGAACTATCGCTCAGAGTTTCTTGTTGGAATGGTTGAAAGAGGCTTTGATGCCAAATTAATATTATAATATTACCGGATTGATGAAAAGTACAAAATTTTGAGAGAATTTATCAATTTTGTATAAGATAACAAATTATGAAAATGTTGAGAACTTTGTCAATCTTCAAAATATCCTGAAAGGTTGTCTCTCTGTAGGTTTTAAGTTTTAAAAAGGGAATTGATAATTACCTACTACTTCTCTTTTCAATGTCACATCGAGTTTTAAGATTTGAATCTTTATTATTTTCATCTGATTGCAAAAATAAAATAAAAAAAATAGACAGAAATTTTCGAATTTATTAGATAGACTGACTGAACAACTGTAAGCGTTAGACTCTAATAAGATTCGCTCCTCAAAATCTGTACATGAAACTGAGCTAGATGGGTTAGAAGGACCCGGAAGAGGTAATTTCTCACGCCAAGCAGCGATCGAGACGCCAATCGACATGGTGGGAAAGTCTAGCGAAATAGCTATTATATTAGTTATAATGAATGGAATACCACCTACTTACAACACAAGATAGACATTGCAAGTCGACCACGAGAAACCCCAAAATCCTTGACAAATGCACATTGTAGGTATCCCATCCTTTTCATCTACATGTCTCTAAATTTGGATACAAAATCATCCAATCAAAATTTTCAAATAAATAATGCGTCTATGCTTTAAGTGACAAATTTTAAAGGCCTCGATTCGCGGGTCCCACACAATTGTATGCAGTCGAATCTCCAGCAGGATCAAATGATGATGGGTATGGATCCAATTGCTCCAATTATTCATCCAATTGATTCAATTGAAGGTTCTAATCAACAAATTCAACTGAGGGAATTATAATTCAGGTCGAAACGACGATGGGTCAGCACCCAATTACATCAATTGAATTGTCACTGCATCGATCGACTGCTGGAGCAATCATATCCTTGAACGCATCAGAATTGAATTTCTGGGCTTTGAAAAATGTTGCACATTGTCTTGAACTTTGTCCTGCGACTCTGCATTTGTGCGTATGTAGATTTTGCAATTCTGTTTAATTTGGGAGGGTTGGTGGTGATGGGATTTGCAATTCTTCAAATTTTTTTGTAGTTCAATTACAATCTTAACAGCTAATTTTTGAGTATGATGAAGTGGCTAAGGGGTGAGGAAGCAGATAAAGTGGAAAGGGGAGAGGCGGAAAATAAAGTTTTAAAGATTTGAGATTGTGGTGGAAAATTTTGAATATAATGTACACAAAAATAAAAAGTCTGAAATTGCAACTGCAATTATTCCTTTTTAATTTTGACAATTCTTAATGTTTTCAACGGTTAAACAAACAAAATTGGACAATAGAGGAATTTTTCACACCTAAAAGATTGTATTCTGCACTAAAGGTTTCAAATATGGATCTATTTTGCTATTTTCAATAGTTAGAGGGATCTTTCGCAAAAATGTCTAATAAGTAGGGAGGTTTTTTTGTGATCAAGCCTAAAATCAATCATAAACATTGATCCTAAAATTTGAAGTAACGTTATTTAATCCCATTAGAATTATAACTTCAGTCTATGTCCCAGTATAGAAACAATTCATTCAATATATCATTTAATTTAACATTAACGCCAAATAAACGAGGGTTATAACTTCGGTGAAGCTACGTAGCATTATTCATAAACTTGCATTCAATGCTACTAATGATATTCAAGCTAACATAACAAGTAATGATTTTTACTATGATACTACAAATTTTTTCTTGAGAAAAGTTCTTGACTATATACATGAAATGACTTTCGAGTATTACAGTTACAGTGCAGTGAAAACAACAGACCCCTCGATACGAATGGCAAAAAATCGATAATTATTGGTTAATTGAACACAAATATCGCAAACCAGTAAGCACCTGTAGAGAAGATTCGTATAATAGTACTTAAGTAGAATTTGTTAGGTTTCTATACTCGGTTTACAAATCTGCTTTTCTGCACATGCAATCCGGCGTTGGGTACATGTAGAGCGAGCTGCTCGGTTTTCTCAACTCTACCCCCTTCACATCACTATGACGAAGCATATCAAGCAATTGGCGTTTAAAGTCTTGCCATCTGCAGATATATAGTCAATAATTATAAAAAGTTGTTAGTATTAAGTGTACATTGCGATCAACATTAGTCGAAGTTCAAAATGCAAACAGGTTATGACCCTGGAACCCAAGTTTACAATCAAACAATGAAAGACACCGGGGGAATAAGGTGAGATAAAACATAATGTTAACGTGACACTGCACCATACCAAATACCTTATAGTGCTTGTACGGTAGTGTGGATCCTATGAAATGTATGGATAATAAGTGCCTATTTGAGCCCCAATTTTAGGGCAAAATGCATTTTTTTGAAAAATGTGATTAAAAAAAAAAAAAAAAGTTTTGGATTTATGTATAATATTATTTTATTGGAGAATGTGTGGTTGAAAATAAAAAGAGTTTTTTTTTTTTTTTTTTTTTAACGAGGTGTCCCAGTTTGCGCCAGACTATATTCTCGTCCCTGAACCTCCGGCCCCTCAGCTGCTCAAGAAGGTAAATCGCAGGATGTGCCCTTGTTGGTTTCCAGGTTCCCACATGACTTTTACTCCTTCCCCAAAGGGAGCCTCCTCCATGGTGATTAATCCACCAATAATTCCTCCTTTATTGGATCAAAGGTTCCCACCAGAAATCGAACTCCCCACGCTTGGTTTCAGAGCCCCCAATGTGATTGTTCCGCCAACTTGGATATGCCCTGAGGGGCGTGTGTTTAAACTTCTTTTATGGGAGAATGTGTGGTTGAAAATGAGTTCTAGAAAAAATGGGGGCCCTACATAGGCTAAGTGTAGTAAGTTGTGGATCCTACTAAGTATGTAGATAAAAAGTATATTTGACCAACTTAAATTATAATTTAAGCAGCACCAAACATGCTTAGGGAGGAAGGCACAAATCAACAGCTAAAACATGTTAATCACCTGATACTTGGATTATCGAATAACTGAACTAATTTCTTCTTATCGGGTTTAATTGTCTTGGCATGTCCTTCATAAAAATAGCGTCGGTGTCCAACCAAGAAATGGGGAAAGTTACCACCCTGAGTCGTAACAAAAACTTCACTATGAAGACAAACAGTATAATCCAAAGCTGCCAACCTGGACGAATGCCCCTGCATGACAAGATGACACTTAATCACATAGTGCATGTTTAGTACACAGAGTACTGGACTCTCTCTCTCTCTCTCTCTCTCTCTCTCTCTCTCTCTCTATATGTATATAAATAAGATGTTGTACTATTTAATCCTCATACTAAACATGCTAATAGAGGTTTGAAATTATACCATGAATGGAGTAAGTTCTTCAGGGGAGGCTAGAGTTTCCTTTGTTTCTAGACGAGGAAACATCTTTTTCAAGGGGGCCATATACTTCTCCGTTTTGTAAATTTTTCCAGATGCAACAAAAAGAGAGGTGCTGTTATCAAATCCCATGCCCCTAAGCATCATTCCCACCTACATTGTACAGTCAACAAACCATCAATCCAGTAGACACTGATTAATATCACAAGTAAAGTCAGTTTCAGTTTTCCACGAGGCATAGAGGGTTAATTCGTCACTCATAAGGTAGAGCTATTTAGGCAAAATGCACTTTTTTCATTCAAATAGAAGGAGAATGTAGGGTGTTTATCACTTTTTATCGTACCTCTAGTGGAGTTAAAGGGCACTTGCCATCCACTCGATTAGCACCTGGTTTTATTACCCTGCCTCTTCTCCGAAATTTTCCTCTCCAACTTCTTTCTCGAACGATATCCATCTCATGCTTCTCTTCCTCCCCGCCATCATATATGCAACACGAAAATGCCACCATATCCTTTCATGAGAGACAAAAAAGGATTTTAGCCACACTCTAGAATAAAAAAATAATAATAATAAAAAAAATAAAATTCTTCATATCCAAATGAGTTTAAAAGTACACCTCTTCAAATCGGAGATGAACTGAAATGTATCTTGCCCCACTTTTCGAGCTGGCTTTAACCATTCGATCAACCATTTTTGCAGCAAGCATGCGTATGGGTTCTGAAAACCTAAGTGCTTCGAAATTGCACAAGCATCGAAGCCCTTGAATATTTGAAGGAACTGCATGGGCCAATCTGTTAGAGAAAGGTGCAATGCGAACAGCCCTGCAACCATTCATTAAAAACAATTACAATTGTCTCCTCAAGTTTTGAATTACCTTACACACTGTCAAACTTCTCATTTTTGCCTTGACAAGAAATATACATCCACTTATCATCCATGAAAAGCAAATATAAGTCTATTATCATCCACACTGGAGAGTATTATCAATAAAAACACGGAATTTTACATGATAAATGCAGCAATATTATATGATAACTTCCTTGATTGTTCAATGAAGTTGCTTAGACTTTACATTTAATAATCTCCGATGCAGCTAAAGCATGGATTTCTTCATTAAATAATAACAAATGAAAGAAAGGATGGAGGTTTCTGGTGATCATATTGGTACACAGGCATCTCTAGTTACAAAATTTATGAATGGACTACTGCAGGAATTTATGAATAATTACATGGGCATCTCCAGTTACAACAAAAAGTATCAGTACCGGTATATTATCCAGGACAGAGATTGAGGCCACACCATAAAATCACATTTAGATGGGAATTTCATTTGTCCACAAAGGCAGAATACATGTTATAGTAACAGCAAAGGTGAGAGAGATCAATACCCCAACTCCCTCAGCTTTGGTAAAACCTTTTGAATATAGTAGGTTGGGCTTGACCATGCTTTTACTCTCAAATTCACTATGTTGCTTATATTATTATCAAATTGCTGAAGTATATGTTCTGGAAGCTCTCTGACCACATCAACTTGATTTCTGAGTGCATATATGAAGAATTCCTCATCGAATATGTCTGCAAATTTACTGCAACAAGTTCAAGAGAATGAAATGTTTTTGTAATAAATTCAAATACTACAATGTTTCACTAACGGAGAAACAAGATAAGTTCGCCCGACTATAAAAAAGGAACAGGATTTGTATCAAAATAAAGGAACTATGTTCAGTGAACATGGAATATTAATGTGTTAATTAAAAGTCATTTCTTATCCATAATTACACCAAGTATGGACTGGTCAAACATTTTGAAAGAAATTTAACAATGCAATAATGACAAGACTCAATCTTCAATCTTCAGTTTTATTTTTCAATTTGTATATAGCTTGAAAAAGTTGGACTGAAATTTTTCTAATGCAAATAATTTAACAACCAACAGCAACTTTGGTACATGGGCACACACCAAAGGTGCCTCAGTTTTATTATCTGCATTCCATTATTCCAACTATGTCTGTCCGACCCTTGGAGGTTTTACAGTTTGATTAAATAACCAGAACTCCAAATCTATCGTTTGAGAAGGTTGTACAATCCCAACCGTGGAAAAGCTTATCCAATGGAACGAGATAAAGAAGCATAATGAACCTCAAAGCGTAATGCGATAGAACTATACAGAAATCCAAAGAGATCTTATCCAAATCATTGGGCTACGTCAATTTGGCTTAAATTTTCGAGTCTCCTACGATATACATTAGAACTAAATGCTAAAGCATATCTTTTAACCTTCGCAAAGAATTTGAATCATGAGCCTAACTTGAATTAGTCTTTATGAAGCAAGGGTGAGATACTCGAGGAAGTTCTTAGAATTCACGACTATCTTATCATTGAACATTCCACTCCATTCTATTAGATTACCTCCTTCCCTCTGGTTTTAACCCTACCTCTTCATTTGATTTTACTAGTTTTATTACTTTTCCTAATCAATGGATCTAGTCTCTACTATAATTAGTCCATATTAGACACCATTCATAGAATTCAGAACTTCAAGATATGCAGATTACTAGGAATTACAACTTAAATTCCTTCTTGCAAGTTGGACTAGAGAGAGTTTTCAGAATTCTGTGTAGTGTGTAAGAAAGCCCGCTACTTCTTCTGTACAAGGATTCAGCTTAAGTGGTTGTTTCAGACATTTTAAATGTCAGCAGAGCTTACCCTTTACGTGAAGATGGGATGTTGCCATTTCCCATCCTTATACTTTTAGATACTTATCCTTTTCACGTTTGACTAATAACATCATTTGTATTTGAAGTACGAAAGACAGAGAAATAACTAGTGAAGAAAAATGCCAAGGGATCAAATTTATGCAAGGACACCAATTACAATCTCATCGCACCTGGAATCTCTCCAAACACTATTCAAATGAAATATGGGAATAACAAGTGTAGCATTCAGCAAACCTGCTACTGCCACTGCATCACATATCTGTAACAAAAATGAGAAAAACCATGAGCACCTTTGACTTCGAAGGACACATAATGTACTGCAATGAATCTGGCATCTTTAACTCAAATATCTAATGTATTTTTTGTTTGAACAACGTCAGTAGGACCTGTGAATATATTTGGCTTCACAAATTTGTTGTACATCTCCCTTTTATGGGAAAAGAAACATTACATCTCATCCAAAAAGATTAAATTACAAGATAATAAGAAGTCGAAGAGTGCCAATAAAGATAAGCTCAAATTCTCAGAAGTTCCACTATGATATTTGATGGAATTCTATCATCATCGCATAAAACGATTGAGGTTCGAGACAATCAGCAGTTTTAATAAAAGGGAATATCAAGTTATAGTACTCTATTAATGCAATTTCAAGAAAATATAAGTACAAGAAGATATATACATGCACTCTACCAACATTGAAGTTCTAGAGCACTTACGAGTAGCTAGTGCCAGCATTGAGAATGATTAACAGATTACTGACTTTGATAGCATACATTGGCAAAATGCGTAAAATGAAAAATTGATGCGGACAAATGATTAAGAAGCACATTTTAACAACCTTTGGACCAACTGTTATAAGTAGAAACATACCGATAATCTTTGTTGGTTCAACCCACCATTTGCTTCAATTATTAGAAACCCATTTCTTTTTGGCAACTCTGAGAAGCCTTCAAGAACAAAGTTGGTAAACATTACATTAGTAGAGTAGTTAATACACCAAAAATTGGCTGCTTATAAATACTCTAACACAGATGCATAAAAATTTTCAAATCCTCTTAACTTTCAGAAGGACAATCAAATTCATTAAGCCAACAATGCAGGATATCTAAAAGAGAACCTGTTGACACTTTTAGAAACACTTGGAAGTATGTTGAACAAAAAAGTGTACATATAGTGAAGATCTTTTACATTGGAGCCAACATTTACTGTAGTTATGAATTTTCTAGGCGTCCATCTACAGCATTGTGCTTAATTCTACAAATGTCTTTGCATCCAAAAATCTACTTTTTTTATTCTTGCAGAAAAAGCCAACTAATAGATTAATTCCAAGTGCAAAGATAAAACAAACCTGTTTGAGAAATAGTCTGCTTGACACAAGGCTTCCAACCTTGAGACAACTTTGGATTCCACGCATTTATTAGCTGCATAAAGTTTTAAGCCCGAAAGCTATACATGTCAGATATCATCTTCATCTAATTCATAAGAATTAAGGAAAATTGCAGGTGCACATCAAGAAAAATTCTTCATATCATGGTAAACGTAATAAATGCAGAAATTTTTTCAGTTCCTTAGCTCAACATCTCCAATTCGTTAAAATGACAACTGTCCATGTCTTAAATGAGCACTCGTCTATATTTACACCGCAACTTAACACAGAATCCATAAAGATCAAAGCCTTTCCGTGCACTTCTATTTTAAAACAATGCAATTCCAAAATCTTACCAAAACAAGCAAATTGCAATCATATTCAACATATTTAAGAAAGACAAACACTTAATACTGCATGAAACAACAAAATTACCATGTTATTGGAGCTCCGATTGCTTTCAGCCTCCATGAACGGCCAGAGCTTCTGGAATACCTGGGGACTCCGGTATATCGACCCAGGCCCGATGACATCATTTCCATCACCACCAGAATTGACAACATCAATACCCAATGTACCCATATACAGCAGCATCCCTGATATATACAGCAAAGGGGCAAACAAAAGGATTCCTCTTCGCCTATACGTCACTGACATTAATAAATATCCAAATCTCTCCACCACATTTTGTAACTTAGTACCACCTCCACCGCCGCCGTCACTAAGGAAACTCCTCCCGCCACCGCCGACATTAGTGGTGGAAGTACTCTTATTTCGGCCGTGGCGGTGGCGGGGAGATGTAGGCGGTGACAAAGACTTCACCCCGTTGCTCAAACGACTTGGGCCATGCATATTCTTCCTCCACTGCACTACTCTATGTCTAAAAACTGGATTTCTTGGTATTCTAAAGTCAGATTAACAGATGGGTATGAGCCCAGATTTCAAATTTACTTCCCGATTACTTCCCTGTTAAACTTTTTTCCTCTAAAAGGCAATTACTCTAGAGTTGAAAAGGGAGTTAACGGGCTTGAAGTCCACTGCTACACCACTGTGCCGTGGGTGGGGTGGGGGTTATAGCAAGAAACACGGGAAGTTTGAGGCATTTGTGAAGGTGGGGTAGTGGGAAATCAAAGTTGATGACTCTGTGACAGATAAATTGGGGTCTCTTTTTTAATGACTTTACAGTGACATAAAGATGCCCTTTAATTCGTGTCGGTGGAACTAGCATATTTTATCCAGCCGCGGTTGCGCCGTCGCGCTACTGCCGCGAGGTAAGTGGTGATACGTAAATGCTAATTATTTACCAGATTCAGTACAGCAACAAAGTAGTTGAAGCCATTGGGTCAAGTCTGTCGTATAATCTCTTATATTATTGTCAACTATTTTTTACTGTTCAAAATACAACTTTTTTTTGGATCGAAATTGATGAAGTAATAATTTGATTTAGAAAAAAAAAAATTATGTTTTTAGTAGATTTTGATAAAACTTAATGGATTGTGTGATTGAATAATTGTGGATCTTATAAAATATATAATTAAGACACTGTTTGAACCCCATTATTTCCACAATCATTTGTTTAAATAGCGACTATCGATCTTTGAAGAATAATGTTATGTAGTCTCATTGGAGTTATCATTCCAAGTTAGGTGGTGCTAGATGATAGAGTTTGAATGAAATGTAAAATCAAATGATTTATTTAATTCCACTTATCATTTAACGCTACATTAAAATTGAGGTTGTAATTTTAGTAGTACTAAATAGCATTACTCATCTTTGAGTATTTAACTAACTGAGTAGTCGGAAATCGCATGTAATTGTCAGCATAGACCTTGTGGTCCGGAAGTTACGATTATTGATGTTCCATTTTTTAACTTTTCTAATAGATTGAATTTATCAGATTTGCATTTCATGAATAAAACATGATTGATTGGCCCAATTTTTCTTTTAGTCACAACCGTCTAAATTAATCAATTTTGTTACGAAATTTTGCTTTATGCACTCGAAACGTGATTTCATCTTTGTTTTATTTTCCTACGCTTAGTTCTGTAATTGGGCCAACGTTGGCCTTCGAGTTGGAGATGTCCTATTTGATCCAACTGGAAAAATGAATCAAAATTACCAATTAATTATAATCACACCGTTCATAAAATTCACAACTTTTCAACTACACATCACAACAATTTTTATTTTTGTCAAATTCTAATTTTTATCTAAACCAAATAGAGGCTTTTAATCTACTTACACCAAATTTTCTACGGTATGATCGTCCTTTTTTATTTTTTGTTTTTAGGAAAGTGGAAGTCAATGATTAGTTGAAAAAAGATGAATTCTCATTTTGTCTAAATTAATTTTTTTACCCCATATAGGTAAATGACCATCTTGAAATATTAACAAAAGGGAAGCCCTAATAAAATTTATCCATGTTCATTTACTCATAGCAACATCAAAGTATTTCACATTCAAATTGTACATTAAAGGAATGAACATAAATAAGCACAAGTTTATCTGTACACTCACAATGTTATGATTCTAAAAGGTCTAAACATCAATTTCTATATCTATCTCAAGAACTTCATTGCCCCCAATTTTATGGGAAAAATAAGCAGATAAAGCAAATATGGCGGCCATTCGAAGCCTCAACTTGTACTTGTCGAAAGAAATCTTATCACTGGAAGAAGATTTTTTTGAACGATATCGAGCGAATATATTCACGGAAAGGAGTACGGCCCGAGAAATTCCTATCAGCTAGATTTAACCTTTCTGACCACTCTTGAGAATTCTGCGCAAATGGAAAGCTTCACCATCACCTCCATTCAAGGACCTTTTTTCCAAAAAGCAAGCAGTAAGCTGTCTTAGTAACCTCTCGAGACGTGATTGCAAGCAACATTTTGCATCTTTCACATTGGGATTTGTTGCCAAAATAGTCGCATTAACAGCATCAGCCACAAGCTCCCTTTGAGACTCACGAAGAACGTATCCAACGGAAGACTTGTCGGGCTGTTCGTATGCCAGCAAAGCAGCACAATCCTAGCGGTAGAAGAAGAAAGATATTAGAATTGAAAAAAACTGAACCATAATAGTATACAAAGAGTTAAAGGTGCTTGAAGTTCAACTGCAACGATTCAACTAGGAGCATGTTCGGCTAAGTATTAGTATTTTTGAGTAGATAAGCAGGGTTTAGATGAATAGTTTCTTTACCGACAAAAAAGGAAAAAAGTTATTTATTTTGATAGCAAGATAAGATTTACTTTCAAAATAAAGAACCCTGTTTATGTAATAGAACGAAAAAAGTAACCCATCAAAACACGCTTGTAAATAAAACAAATTTGTACTGATTTGTAAGCATAGCCAAACAAAACATAGGCATATATCAGTGAGAGGGCTCCATCAAGTACCAGGAAAACATAGTAAAAAGGAACCCATTCTCTAGCAAAATCATATTTTGCCTTGTACCCTATATGCGGTTTAATTAAGCACACTTGTGGATCCAGTCATGTACAGCAAGTAAAGATGGAATTAGTTCATGTCTTTTCTGAAGATCGAATGTTCATAACACAGCACCAAACTCTTTGCAGAATATATCATATGATGCGTGAATTAGAGTCAACAACAGATCTGTATTATACCTTCACTAGATCATCAAACTCTGACCTCCTCTTGAACTTTTCAAACTCAGATCTACCGTACAACACAGCTTCCTCTAGCTTCCCAACCTGCAGTAAGATGGGGGTCAAAGTTGCTGAAGAAAATGTCCGTTTTTACGGGGAAAAAAGAGCCAAAATAAAAAATAAACCAAAAATATTGGAATTGTATGCCGTATTTGCATGTATAATTGGAGAATACATGACCAATTCAAAATTTCTGACAAAAAAGATTTGAGTTGGCATGAATAATGAAACACAAGGCATACTGGATACTATACTTGCACAAGGCAAGAAAAGACATACATCTCAAATCTCTTAGAGAGCTGTCACTCTGTATTGACCTACTCCAACCTACTTGGACTAACTTATTAAATGACATCTTTTCCTTGATTTTATTCAAGTTTTATTGCAGGTTTTTCCAAACAATTCTGATTTAGAAAATGCATCTTAAATAGTTAATGGAAAATGTTTTACTAACTATTGGTTTATAGGCTCAAAAATATGAATCACATGAAATTGGTCAGGTTCTAACCTATTTTACACAAGAGAAGTGCTACATGTACATAATTGTCTACATAATGATGTCCATAATTACATGTGACATTGGATCCAACCTTTAATTCAAATCTCACACTTGTACATCAATAATTGGATGATTGCCACATCACATTATGGACATCATTATGTGCAATAATTATGTACAAGTAGAATTTTTCTTTACAAAAAGCAGACCCCACACTCAAAATGACTGACAAGTTATCATTTTACCTTGAAGTAATTAAGCTTCGTGATACCAAAGTACTTTCGCTTTAATCATCATAAAGTTGATTTCATGTGCAAACCATACTACATATGGCCTCTTATGCCTTGAGAATTAGAAACCCTAATTCTATCCCACTGAGAACAATAAATGCGCACAAAGAAAGAAAGATACTCAAGAACACACAAGCTTTAAAGAGGTTCGCTTCAATATAAGATTGTCATCTTTCGTTACTGCAGTAATTCACAATGACAAAAAGAAATTTACAAGAGAAAATCGCACACCCATCTTCTCAAATCCCTTTCTATTTTTTTTATGATGGTAATACAAAACTTTAATGATGGCTCTCTACTTGTAAGAAAAATTAGGGCAAAATCGAAATTTATAAGCATGCAAATTCCTAAATCGTACTTTACAAAGACATAAATTCCTATACTAGCCTTAACGAAACTTTGGTCAGGGTCTAGGCCTAACCCCACGGCAAATCTCACCGTAGAGGTTGATCCACATACTGGCTCCTTCAGCAACACACAACTTAACATTGTCTATTGTCCACCTTCCTCAATTTGTTCATATTTATATTTTCTAACATGAGAAATAGAGAATAGACACTAACGGCATATTCATGATTCATTTACCTACAAAAGGAAAAAGACACTTACCCGGACAAGCTCAATAAATTTTTGAGTATGGAGCAAAAAGCAGATAGAAGATGTGTCATCCTGCATATAGCCAACGAATTATCATGTCAATGATAACAATATAATCATGGATATATTTAAAAATGTTCAAGATGTGAGAGGGCATGGAGTTCATCCATAGCCACCATCACGAATATCAATCGAAGTTTAGTAAAAGGTCATATTTATGGGTAAATCCATTATTTGTGACCATTAAAAGCTGATGGATGCAATCGAAGTTTAGTAAAAGGTCATATTTATGGGTAAATCCATTATTTGTGACCATTAAAAGCTGATGGATGCATCCAGACAAATGATTTTCAGCAGAATCTTTGAGATGTCACATGGAACACAGAAATAATAAGTTAAGAGGAAGTACACATTTTGATAAGTAAATCAACCTTACACACTTCAGTTCCTCAAAGAATATAGGTCATTTGAGAGTGCCTTCTATAAATGTACATTTAAGAGCTGATTACATGAAAACGGTCAAAGGTGATTCTAAATTAACAGGTCAAGTGAGAGTGAGAGAGAGAGAGAGAGAGAGAGAGAGAGAGAGAGAGAGAGAGAGCATGTTGTCATCCACCTGAACAATTTGAGGATACCATTCATGGAGTTTAGCAAATGTTTCATCAATTCCGCCACGCCTTATTAGCTGCACGACCAAAGAAAAGAAAATAGTTATTTAATATTTTATGTAGATATTACTAGTTATCAAAAATTGCTTATCATGCAAGCAAGGACCAATATGCTGGAATAGATATAGCAGATTTTGTTGAGTCAGGAGCCCTAATGTGTGAGTAAATAAATATGGAAACTGAAAATTTACACAAGTAAAAGATTAAGAGGACTAAAATGCAATCACATCACCCATCAAGTAATTGCATTGATAAATTGAAGGTCAAAACATATTTATGGGGGGTGGAGTTTGCTGCAACAGAAAATGTGCGCCATTACTCAAAAAATTGTAGCAAAGAATTGACACCTGAATTTGGAAATAGATGAGATAATACCCATCCCAAAAATGTATGTGCTTGCTGATAGATGGCTACTTCAATCAGTTGAATCACCAAATGATCGTGACATTATAATTTATACCCTAAAAAGTGAACATATACAAGTCGATTATGCGGAAAAATCCTAAATAGAAGGTGATTATAGATAATTCGGGCCTTTCTCTCTCACCAAATTGACCAACTTATTGCACTGCAGCACACCACAAAATCTTGCTGCTGCAGCACATTCAGAAAACCTGGAAGTAATTTGGAACATTTTCTCCAGTCTAAAACATGGAAAAGATTTGCCTGAAGAGGTTAATATTAACCTTCATTCCTGATGAAAAAGCACAATCCGTTCTTTGATTTCATGGTAGAATCCTAGCAAGTCTATGACAATTTATACACGAAGTTTCTATATGATCATGCCTAGGTACAAGGGAAGAGCTGATGTTACAATCTATGTCCCATTATAATGTGACGTTTCCTAATCATGGAGTACTTCCCTACACCAACCCAGTTTTGTCAACCTATGAAAGTGATAAATTGGTAACCTAATCATCACTCTCTTAGTGAATATATTTTATAACACAGTTCAACTATTGCCATCATGATCATGGAACTCAGAAAAAGGAATGACTGGTTAGAAATTTCAAATATAATTGAAATAGGTTGTCCCTGCTGGCAGGATGTGAAAACCCAGAATAATAACTCTAGAAAACCACTGGTAATTATGAAGAAAATAATATGCTTCAATTCATACCTCACGAAGAGTCCTCCTTTGATTCATTGCATACATGTTGTCTTCCTCATCGAACCCATTTTCTGGAACCAACGAAATTGGAGGAGTGGTACTTTTACTAGCCATATCAAAAAATTCAAGTGTTCCTTCATACCCGTAATGCTCTAAATAGGAACGAACTAATCTGGGAAGTCAAAACCAATGGTGATTATCAAAGAAAACATCAGTTGTAGTTCTATATTTCGGTAGTCAAATAGATGTCCAATTACTCCAGTTATAAATCGTAAATTCTCATTACAAAATGTTTGAGCAAATATTTTAAAAAATAACACTACGGTGATCATCAGAGCTGAAGTGCATGCATGATGAAAGACTCATAAATTTAGAAACTCATTTCTTCAATATGAATATCTATTCTGCATCAGCTAAGAAAAGCTGTTATCTACATGTTTCCAACAGAGAAATTTCAGTAGCTTATTTTATACAAAATCAACTCAGCTACAGTTTTCATTGAAGATCAGAAGAAATTAAAACCTTGAACAAATTTTCTGGATCTGGCATATTAATTGTGGGTTTTGAACATTTCTCCCAATGACACAATTTGTGCAAATAGCATAAATGTTCATTTCTCATTAAAAATAAGTCAATGATTCACATTATGATTAGATCCACCAAAAATTATAAAGCCCATATATTTTATTGTTCAGAAGTCCAAGGTAAGGTGAGTACATAATCATGAACCCCTTTCTTAAAATTAAAAACATGATCGCATTTGAATCAGGCAGTCACGAATTATTGAGATTCTCAAAACAATCAAGAATTGCAAAGATGAATTAGATACAAGAAAATAAATGAAGCACTAAACAATTTTTTTTTTTTTTTTTTTTTTTGTGATGTTCAGAAATAATTACTATTTCTTACATTATCCAGAGCAATAAAAAATCAGTAAATCTAAACTATTTTTCCTGTTGCCTCATTGCCAAAGAAATAATAGGTAGATATGAAAATTAGCAAATTTTAACAACAAAATTAGGAGGAGGAGAGCCATTAGTAGTTAGGCTGCTGTTTTGACAAGTGAAGAATTTTACTAATAAGAGGAATCACAGTGGTGGACCACAAGGACTGCTTCAATATAAAGTCAAGTACTTGTACATAAAACAGAATCCTCGACTTATAATATTTCGGGCACCTTAAATCCCCCAAATATCAGAACATTCTTGTTGTGGAACTTGAAAATAGCAAATTGAACTTACCCATGACTAGCGTCCAGTGGTATTGAAATACAGTCAATTTTCTCTTGCTGAATTGCTCTTTGCTCTGCCTCATATGCCTGATTGATATATATAAGATACAATGAGATATAATAGTTTGAATATTGTAATTTTACCAGTTTGTTCTCAAGTTCCTTAAAATTCCAATTTTGGTTAACGGAAAATACTGAAAGGCAAGTTGATGCATGCAAAAGAGCAACAAAATAGATTTACAAACCAAAATTCCTAAAACAGAAATAAAGAATAAGGTGTTGTTAGTTATTATGGTGTATCCAGTCGATATGACAAAATATTTATATCAAATCAAAGTATGCCCTCTGAGTGGTATCTACCATTCATATTAAGTAAAAGTCAAGTGAAAAATATGAAGGTGCATTTTAAAGAATACAACCCACATTTACAATCCAAATTAAATAAATAAATAAATAAAATTGGGCCCAATGCCAATCAAGTGAAAATCTTAAACCTGATTTTTTAAATATGCTAATCTTCACTAATTATTTGCTCAATATTCCCAATTCCAAGGAACTGTGGTTCAAAATAAGCAAGTCTAGAATGAGTGTAATTAAGGCAGGAATTAACGAAAAGTTGCAACAAACTTGTTGTTCAATGGAGAGAGGGATTGGAGAAGGAGAAGGCAAATCTTACCTTAATATCAAATACAAATGGCTCCTTACCAAAATTGACTGTGACCCTGCCCCACATATCAAAGCATAATTTTAAGAAGTTAGATACATCTTAATATTTTAAATTTTGAGAAAGTATTCGCACAGCAAAGGGAATGGAGAAGTAGCATGTTCATGCAGCGTGCACTTGTTAGTGCATGAAATATAGCATTCGGAAATCACAAAGTAGAGCCTCTAGCCCAGAACTATTTTTTCTAGTTGTTGCGGATTAAGGAAAATTTAACAATGTTTACAGAAAGATCTCATAAACTGGGATGCAGGAATGCTTCAAAAATCATTTTTTCAGCTTTATGCTAGGGACATCTGAAGATCAAACTAGAGAGAATTTCTATATTTTCCACACCAATAATGTTACAGTGAGTGGGTCTATTTATAGTATAAGTAGAATACATGGAAAAGGAAAAAATCTAATCAATCACAATATCCTATCTATGGTAACTGGAATAAAAGGCAATCGTCCCTCAATCAATTAGGGATTTCGACACTCCCCCTCAAGTTGGATCATAGATGTTTAGCATATCCAACTTGAAAATGAAATCATCGAATTTCTGTCAAGGTGATCCTTTGTTGAATACATCCGCAACCTTTGTTTGTGTGGGAACATGAGTCATGCAAATGGTCCCTTCCTCACCCTCTTCCTTAATAAAGTGTATCAACTCTACATGCTTCATTTACAAAGCTTCTCTTGGAAGCTAGTAGTTTGGCATCGAGATTTGTGCACCAACTATTTGTACTACGTAATCTTTGCCATAAAAAAATCTGAAAATTTTTACATAAAGGGTTTGCTTTTTAACCTAAAAATAGCTACTTTTGCAGAGTCCCCCAAATTTGGTCATAGTTCACGTCCAACATCCAACCCGGCTCGAACAGGAGTACGCCATGCTAATGTGTCTTAGATGATCCATGTCTATTTTGGCTAGAAACCAAGATTGCCCTATTATTAAAAGATACTTATGATGGAGTAATTACAACTATGTGGGGATAATAGTAGAGAATAGTTGCGTCAACGTTCAGTTAAGTCAATTTTTTCACTTCAGTCATTATGGGTTAAGAAGACATATCCAAGGTGAGATTCTTTTTAGTAGATGGACTAGAGGCGTTAAACCAAATGTTAGAACTTTGGAAGAGTTTTTGAAATCTAAGGTTTTACATTAAATAGAACTAAAATGAAGTGCAAGAACATCATTTGGGTAATAATAGGAATATGGAAAATGGTGGAGTCACCACAATTTACAAAGGATCATCTCGAAAAATAATTAATTTAGATATTTGAGTTCAACTATTGACAAAGGAGAAAGACTTGAGAGGATGAAATGCATATGATTAGAGCAGGCTAACTGAAAGCTTGAATAAAATGGAGCAGTGGTACAGGAATAGGAAATCACGAAGGTAAAGTGCAGGTTCGTTAGGACCAGTGTTACAGGAATATGACATCTCAATAAGGTTAAAATGCAAGTTCTACAAAACCGGATATGTGTCAGAAGGTTTGGCTCTCAAAAATACAAAATGCCAATAAGATGACCGTTGTCAAAACGGGAATGTTAAGTTGAATGTATGATTGTACTAGAAATACACAAAAATTAACATGACAAGTAGTTGAGATAGATCAGATCCCATTAGATATTCAAGATCATGTTGTGACAGACCCAAGCTGAGACGCGATCCCAAATTTATCTAGAGTAAGGCTTGGTTATTTACTTGTTTATCATATCAGACAAAAAAATGTAAATTAATTTTTAATCTGCTTCAGATTATTATGTGGTGTAATGAAGATTGCTTTAGTAGCTATAGCTGTTTTCTCTTCAGTATACCATAGGCTCATGGGAAGTTCTCTTCACAAATTTGTAAATGAGGGTAACTCTTCTATTCGACTTACAATCTTCAAATCACATTTCTGGTGCAGATTATGATTCTAATTAGTAGATGCCACTGTTTGCTTTTGAATACAGTGAGATGCCAAGTCAATGCTCTCATGGCTTGTTTTAAGTGAAGGCATTAACCTAAATTTTGATGTATTACACGATTCTTTGAATTCATGTGGCTAATCATCCAGAATATATACAGCCCCTGTTTGGTTTATATAAAAATTAGTTTTTTATATACATTTTGATAGTTGATGAAATGTGGTGTTAAAAATGAGTTTGACAAATAATGAATTTCAGAAAATGGGGGCCATGGCATATTAAATATGAAACAACAATAGCATTAACAGTCCAACCATTGCATTAAGGAAAAAAAAGAAAAAAAGTAGCCGTAGAAGAAAAAATATCACAAATAGAGGGGCAAAACAGAAAATCTGAAATGATACATACTCCTCGCCTTGGCTATGAACAGCGACGGTAGGAATTACAGGACTTTTGACATCCTTGAAAACTGTTCCAACTAAAACCCCATTTTTCCTGATATTCACAAGGGAGAAATCATGAGAATTTTCAGAAGTAAAAATAACTGGATTAAACAGATGCAGAAATTAACCTTTATCTGAATCCTCAAGGCCCACAGTTAAACTATACATAACAGAATTTCCACTCTAAAGGCGAGCCCAAAGAGAATGACCATCTTACGTGAAAAAGAATTCTTGTGTAGCGTAGTTGATACCACCGCCAACTGTATCACCAGTTGTGTACTTTGTATCACTAGTTGTGTACATTGGATCAAACGATTCTCCCTTTCCACGCCCACGATAAAGCAGCCCATCATCACTACGATATCCGTAAGTATTTGCTTCCCAACTGTTGGACAGGGAAGGATCAACAAGGACTTCAAAATACAATGACAAATACCAAAGAATGTAGTGCTGCTGACTGTTGAGCCACTCTTTGATATTGAATCCTCAATTTTTAACTGTGATCCATTTTTGTAAGACAATTCATCTATTTCATAATTTACCTGTATAGGAATCTCCCATCTCAACACTAGTATTTTTTGTAATTCATCAACGTTTCTAAAAGAACATACAAGTTTTAAAGAATTTCTATCTAGTGCCCAACCGACTGCAGGCAAGAAAAGTTGCTTATTAGGATTACCTGCAGTAACTAAACCACACAGCACATTCTAGGTTTTGAACACAACATCGATCACTATTCCCACAGGCCACAAGATACATATAGTGCTTCGCACCTTCACTTCACTTATTAGCTTTGTTACATGGATACTTCAATTAGAGTAGCATGTTCGACACATGTCAGATATGTGTTGAATATCGATACTTCTCGAACACTCTACTATGATCATTTTTCCTTTTTTATTCAAAATATTATATATTTTTAACTCAAAGTTATTAGTAAATAACAAATATGTTCTCACTTTAAAAGAATTCAACAAAAAAAAAATTAATAACAAGTATAAAATTAATTTTATACTATATAAATGAAGAATTTTAAAAAATTTAGCCCCCGTTTGACCCCCATTGCCTGAAAATAAAAATGAGGGGAATAGTATTTTTGAGAAAAATGAGTGGTTGAAAAAGAAGGAAAAGTTTTCGATTTACGTGTAATATTATTTTATGAAAGATTGTGTGGTTGAAAATAGGAAAGAGAAAAATGGAATGTAATGTAATTAAATTTAATGGGGATCAAACGGGAGCTTAATCGTGTCAGTACTTCTTTTGAAAAATTGTGTGTCGATGTATTCAACAAGTGTCATCTCGGACACACGTATCTGTGCAGATGTATCATAGCTTTTTATTAAAACAGCCATTTAAACAGCCCTTGCTTTAAGTAAGGCTAGACGAGACTTAACAATTTTGATATTAAATCTCTTTATTAGCCTCCAAAATGCCATACAAAGCCCTTTGATGCCCTCATTTTCAATTACTTCACTTAAGGGTAGTGTTTACTATTATGAAGGAACGTAAACTTTATGCTAAACTGTCTAAGTAAGAATTTGGGCAACCACTGATAGATTCCTGGGGTTCTTAAGAATCAAATTGCTCAAGATAACACAAAGAGAGAGGCAGAGATGCAAGATATACCAATGGAGATCATTTTAGTACTCTCTTGAAGATTTACCAAGATTGAACGGTTATTTTAGGAAGACAATTTACAATTTATTTTGAGAGATTTTCTAATATTTGATTTTATTTCCTTTTGTTAGTTTGGAAGTTGTCCTTGAATACTAGAATTTCAACTATAAGAAAAAGTATATTTTCCATTGGAAAATAATCTTTAACTATTTGATAAATAAATAAATTACTCTAATTTCCTCCCTCTTCCATTTCTCTTTCTTTCTCCCTTATAAGTATAGTTTTTACATTTATTTGAGATCCTAAATAATGATATTTTGTTATTCTTTGAACGAATTAGTATTTAATTTGTTATTTATTGCTTTTATTAAGAAAATTCATGTTTCGAAGAAGAATTGGAAGAAAGAACGGAAAATGACTAAAATGAAGCAAATTCAAAGTTTGGGAACTAAAATGCAAATACTCAAAAGTTATTTTGCACCTCACGATGAAGATTTGAGAGTGCTCAGGGTCAATTGGATGAGGAAAGAAGTCAAAAGGATGAATTATAGTAAAAATATAATCATATATCAACTTTCAACTGAAAAAGTTATGCTTTGGATTTTCAGTTTCATATTAAGATCCAATTTTGGCATAGAAAACGTTCGAATTGGAAAATTCATACATCTAGAAGAATTGTAGCCTCTGAATAAGCTTTCCAACTCATTTTGAATCACCTCAACAGGACATTGGGAGTGAAAGTTATGACAAAAATACTAAAAGCTGTGTAACTGTTGAACTTAGGCAAGGCGTGCGTCCCCAACCAATATTGAGTGACTGAGGCACCCCAAAGGCTCCCAGACGCGCACCCTAGATTACACTATGCGCGCCTTAGTGTTAAACGTGGAAAAATTTAGATTTCCTCATTTTATTTTGGTAAGGAGTCTCGGTACCATATAAATAGCAGAACACGTCCACACTTGGTTTTTATCATATTGGAAGCCGAATTTTGGGAGAAATAGAGAGAATATATATTGAAGAACGAAAAATTCATCGCTTAGATCCGGATTTGAACGCATGAATTGAAGAATTTCCGATTCTCTTCATATTTCAATGATTCGGGTGATGACTTTCTTTTATTTTCTTTGTAATTCTTACATTAATATGTTAGGCTAAATTCCTTTGTATTGGATGGATGACAAAACTGGTTGATTTTTAGTTTTTAATTTAAGACCATGTGCTTTTATCTTAATTCTTGCGTTATGAATCCATTAACATGCATATTTATATTGTTTTAATATTTGCGTACCTTTAGGACAATAAGTTGCTTGTTCGTAGTATTGAAAAACTCACGATAGGTAGAATACTGTTTTTAAAACATACAGACAATAAATGTTAGGAATAATATTTGTGACCTATGCGATCATGTGTGATAATCCAAAATGTCAATGCGTGTTGCCATATAAATTCGAACTAGGAATAAGATCGTCTCGTGATAATCATAAATTTATTGTATCTTGGGAAATAATTATAAATAAAAGTGGAATTATCGATTGTCGCAAGTGCATGAATTGAGATAATTATTACTAGTGGAGAATTATAACTAAGAATTGATCAGTGGCGTCGAAAATCTAATACGTTCACTCATTTGATTTTTAAACCAAACTTTCATTGATTTTACAAGTTTTAGTTCCAAAAGTTAATTAGATATTCACAAATCAACTTTTGGTTATAAATACGAATTTAAACATATCAAATATACTAGGATTAGACTTTATTCTCTATGGGAAGATAACTTTCACATCACAATTATTATTTGTACAACAAATCCGTACGCTTGCGGGACTTTGACGAACACTCCCTCTCTTCTCATTCTCATTTTTCTTCTTCTTCTTCTTCTTCTTCTTCTCTCTCTCTCTCTTCCCACTTTATCCCCTTCTTCCTTTGATCCCTTCCCATATCTGCACCCTCCTTTTCTTCTTCTACAATTTTCTGCAATCATAGTATGTCATGCGTGTACTGCATCATCTCCATTATTCACAGTTGATAAAGATCTTCTTAACAATGGCAGTAAAAATAATTAAAATTCATAACCAGATTGCTGCATCTTATTTTTACAGATCAATGAACCATCAAAAGTCTTAACCACTCTCTACACATCCAAAAATAAAAATAAAAAACCAATGACCAGAGCAACACTGTGATAATCACTGGCTAAATCATGGCATTCATGCGTTGCACAAGCAGTGGGCCAGACTCTAAATTTCATCAATTACAAACATCTCCATTTTGCACCAACGAAGAAATTAATAAAAAATAAACGAAGGGCCTTGAAAAGAAGATTATCTTTAGTCCCTTCCACTTTCTAATTTGAGTTGGTTCACTAAACTCTTAAGGGCCTGTTTGGGAGTTTTGGGTTACCGATTATTAGTTCTTTTTTTAGAGTACCGAATTTGGGCATTTATGAAGGGTCTATTTTTGGGTATTTTAGTAATGGTTTCTAATTCAGTCCAATCCATGCTTGGAAGTTTATTATTCAACGGTTCTAAAAGTTTTTAAAGAACAAAATTACATATATGCCCTTCAATGTAATTTTCAAATTATAATCTTTTTGGGTGAAATTACTTATAAACGATATTTCACTTAAAAAGTATTTTTTTATATATTAGTTAGTCTTTAACTTAAAAAGACAAATATTTATTTGTAATTAAATTTTTAAGTTATAAGCAATATTTTAATTATAAATAAACTTTAAGAGTTATAAGTGTTAGCAGGTCAGGCCTCTATTTGGTTGAATATTGGAGAATGGAACGTTATTCGAGCAGGTTATGAAGCATCTCCGAGGAGGACGGTCTCACTATACAACATGTTTGCTTTCTTCATCGACGAAAATAGTCGTCGTGTGCACCCCCCCCCCCCCCCCCCCCCCA